GTCGGGTAAGTGTTTTATGTCGGGTAAGTGTTTTGTGTCGGGTAAGTGTTTTATGTCGGGTAAGTGTTTTATGTCGGGTAAGTGTTTTATGTCGGGTAAGTGTTTATGTCGGGTAAGTGTTTTATGTCGGGTAAGTGTTTTGTGCAGATCCCGGACTCCAAGAGTCAACCCAGCTCTGATTGGTACCCAACCCTTGTCATGTAAAGTAAAGGTGTTAAAATCTACCTCACATGCACCATAGACCATAAGACTACTAAAAATGTAATACAATTGACAAGTCTCATCCAGTAACAGAAAAAAAGTAGTAATGAAACGTTTTAAGTGACGTTTAAAAAAGTAAAAAAGAATTAAAGGTAGATAATAAGATTTTTACACTATACGATATTAAAAAGCTATTTACTTCTCTTTTTTTAATTCACCAAGTTTTTATTTTAAAATTATCATTAAAAAAGTTAAAAAAAACCCCACGTTTTCTGACTGAACTAAAAAGTAGAAAATAAATACTATACATCACAATAATGCCAGCGATCACTCTACTATAAGCGATGAAAAACGTGGGGCGCCGAAGTAAAAGTTTTGTATCGGTCATTGTTAATATAAGATGTAAAAGTTATACTACTATTGATTAGATAATACTATTGACTTTTATTAGGGAGCTTGTAGAGAGTCAACAGTATTAGAAACTGTAAGAAAATCACGTGGGTTTTTAAAAACTTTTTTAATGATAATCACACTTGACTGTACTGGAAAGAAATTATACATCATTAGACAGTCCTTAAAATACCAAAGGACATCGCCACCAACGTATGTGAATTCGGTATTTATTCTTCAAAATTTTATTAAGGATTTTCCGAGATTACATGTCGAAAAATAAATAAATATTAATAACCTACATTTTTGGGCGATTACTTTTAAAATTATTAGTTCATAATTAAACATATGTAACACATATGGTTACCAGCCAAGGGGGATAAAAATATGAAGTTTTAACTCATTGAGTTGCGGCCCCTGTGGGGCTGTGGCCCTGTGGACGTTAGTTTTTTTTTCCGTGCTTGTGATCGATGTTACCTGTGTCCCATGTCATGTGACATGGGACTGTGGGTAGTTGCATGCCTAGCCGTGTCAGTCACACGCAAGCCTGCTGTCTGTGAACACGGTGACCAAGATGTAGACATAATGAAGGGCTACAGTTTGGTTTTTTTCTTCTTGGCTAGTTTGTTTTGTACTACTGTGTTGCATCGCCGTCATGGCTCGATGCTGTAAATAAAGCGAGTACTTGACAACAACTGTCGGTGTCAGTGTGTTCTTAATCTCATGGTCAGCCCGTCTTAACCACAACACCTCAGTGGGTAAAAGCATCCCCACTGAGTGAGGGTTACACAAAAATATTAAAATCTATAAAAGTCAGAAGTAATCTAACATTCTTAGAATATAAAGGTACTTACCTATTTTAAACTAGTTTTATATAGGCCCAAATTCATAAACACTAAATTAATATCCGCTGACCAATGTCTGATAAAATGAGAGAAGTTGAGAATGTACAGCTTGGAAGTTCGCTTCTTGTAAGGCTAAGATCAAGGAGAGGGGGGGGGGGGGGTGGGCAGAGAAAGGAAATTAAAAGGGACAACAAAGCTCCGATGTGTTTCTATCCATCAGTACCCAAGTTGGGATGGTCTTAATTACTTTTCCAAAAGCCTTATTGTAAAACATTCAAGGGAGAGAATTCAAATTGTACACATTTACTATCACATATTTAGTAAAACAAAAATTAGTAAATTACATAAAACCGAAATTATTGGCTTCATATTCTTTATGATGTTTTCTAGAATACAGGATAGTACATAATAGTAGTTATACCAATACACAAAAACTTACATTTTACATTGTAAAATTACAATGTATCGTGGGCCCCTTTCCAACGCTATAAAAAAGCAAAATTTGTCCTAATATCTAGGGGCCTCTCGCACAACGGACTTGGATTTTTTTTCTGAAGAACTTTGCCGACAACAGCGTGTGTTTGATTGTAGGAGAAAAAGGAATTGGCTTTCACAGTGGTTTTAAAACAAACGGAAAAAGAGTATTCAAGAGCGTGGGATGTTGTCTTTAGAATAAAGATAATCATATAGCATCTACAGTAATCTTTTTACAAAACAACTATCAAGTCAAAATACAAGAAAATTATTTTTTTAGCTATAATTTTTTTTTATTATGGTCGGCTGTAGACCACTAAATGCCCCCCCCCCCCCCCGCATTGCGGTGTCTGGCGGCACTGTAGTTCCGCCACCGGCTCAACTCAAGTATCATTTCAACACGCACAAAAAGTTTGATTGGCTGCTGTGTAGTCTAGGTGTGGTAGTAAAGAAATAACACAACTGTTATACAATTATAATAACTTTTAAATTAAATGCAAAAACAGATAATAAAACAATGTTCTTTAAATAAAACCATTGGTCACTGAAATAAGTAAGAGTTTTTTGAGTGAATATTATTTTACAAGAATTATAGAAGATATAACATTATACCAGTTTAAACAAATGTGGGTCAACTGCTCTACTTTTATTCATCAGTAGATGATATAAGCTTACCAAGAATAAAAATAATAAATAAGAGCACGTCACTGATGTATCAAAAAGTTGATCGTATAGTAATATGAAAGAAAGTGAGGTGTGTATGACAAATATTTGCCAGCTTGTTTAGTTCACTTGAAAGTGGCTTGTGGAAAGTGGTGTGTTTGTGTGATATCAATAAATGGAGTGGAGGGTGGTGTACTGGTGATAAGGGATATGTGTGGGTTGTGTGTGGGTTGTGTGTGGGTTTATGTAGGTTGTGTGTGGGTTGTGTGTGGGTTGTGTGTGGGTTGTGTGTGGGTTGTGTGTGGGTTGTGTGTGGGTTGTGTGTGGGTTGTGTGTGGGTTGTGTGTGGGTTGTGTGTGGGTTGTGTGTGGGTTGTGTGTGGGTTGTGTGTGGGTTGTGTGTGGGTTGTGTGTGGGTTGTGTGTGGGTTGTGTGTGGGTTGTGTGTGGGTTGTGCTGTGTGAGACATTAAAATGTGGGTCGATGTGTGTGTTTTACGATCCAGCGTATCGCTTTGATTTTGTTTTTGTGTTGATCAGTGTTGTTACGGGTCATGTGTAGGTTTGATTAGAATAGACTAGAATAGACGAGAATAGACTAGAATGAACTAGACTAGACTAGAATAGACTAGAATATACTAGAATAGTTTAGAATAGACTAGAATAGACTAGAATAGACTAGAATAGACTAGAATAGACTAGAATAGACTACAATAGACTAGAATAGACTAGAATAGACTAGAATAGACTAGAATAGACTAGAATAGACTAGAAGAGTCTAGAACGTAGGGGAGAAGCGTGTGAACTATCGTGAAGGGGGCTTGGTGTTAGCGGCTAGGGCTTGTATTGTAATGGTGAAGATGAGAAGATACATAAAGGATTTAACATTGCCTAGAATCGTGTTTGGAGTTGAACGAAAGGTCGATGGTAATACGTGTGGGGGCGGTGTTTATGTTGTGGTATATGCAAGTAGTGGTGAGTTATAACATTTCTCATACTGTTATTCTCTTTCAGTTCCTCATTTTGATGTATACAGTTCAAATTTTATTAGCAAGAATAAAAACGATAATATTTTTCAAGCCCATCTTTGCTGTAGGCCTACTTCAAAAAGTATTTTATTTCAATTGGTTTATTTTTTTTTACAGTAACATTTGAGTATTCGCATAATGTATGATCAGTTTTAAGCAATAATACATACGTTGGTATGTTGTGTGTAGTCGTTATTTCTCACACTGGTACAAACATTTTTTCATTCCACAGTTTAAGAAAAGGTAGACAACCACATAGTTTTTAAATAATTTCTATTTTACCGGCTATCTCCCTTTGATGTACAATTACCGTGCTGTATTGGTTTTTTTCCAAAACCATTCAACAGATGTTTCGGCCCATTTCAGGCATTGTATCAAGGGCAATTTTATGAGGAGGGGAGGGGTGCGATAATGATTGGGATTATTAATTAGCTGTACTGGTAATTGCCGGAAGAACGTTCTGTACCTTTAAAAATATTACAAATGCTTTATAAGTTAGAATGATTTTTGTAACTTTATAAAGTCAGATAATCACTGTAATCATGTGTTTTTTGTTAAGACCACATTACCAGAATGGAAATTTTTTTTATCAGGCAACCCATTATATATAACCATCATTTTCCGTGTTTCTTTCAGGCATTTGTTCCCTTCCACCCAGCCCCACCAGTAGGACGAAATAGAGAATAAAAAAAGATTTACACAAAGTAGCTTTATGTGTACAGCTACTTTAACGCTATGTTTGTTTTTATTGTACACAACTGTCTAATGCTACAAACATAGATTGACGTAGTTCTAAAGTAACTAGTTACATCAAATAAATGAGTAGAATACCGGATTGGAACTGTGCAATTTGGCAAATAATGTGTTTATGTTAAACTATATATTATCCATTGTAATTTGAATACAGGTTCGATTGCTTGAATTTTTTATAAATCTTAGCAAATCCACGATTGCTTACAATTTATTTTCAACAATCCTTAAGGTTACAGGCAGATGGGGTGGGAGGTAAATTAGGGCTCAAAAACCGACAATAAAAAAATAATTTAAATTCTATTTTATAATGTGTGCACTGTTTGTTAGTAGTTCTTTTGTAAAATATGCTATAACTGTGGTTGATGTTTCTGTATTGTCTATAAAATCTGCCTTGTGTTTTGTTATTAAAAGGACCAAGTCTATGGAAGCAAGAGAAGCAGGCTAACCTCGGAGTAAACGGCCTAAATGGCTCATAACATGTTGATACTTAACACTTTATGTGTTGTAGAAAATTACCCAAAAATAATACAATAAAAACGAAGAAGAAGATAGATCTTATTCTTACTATTCGAATGTAAAAACACATTATACAAATTCAAACAGAATAGTTGTATTCAGTATTCAGTCCAAAGAAAAACAAACACAATCGTTAAGTAGGTCAATTCGAAAGTTTACTGCATTATAATTGTATGGAAATAAAATGGACATAATAAAAATAATTTATGTCTACTATGAGTACCCAGGAGTAAGTGTTCCATTGAAAACCCTTCGATCTATCCTAATAGCTTAATTCTATTGAGTTACAGACTAACTTAGCCTGTCATATCGAGTGAACGTGTTTCACCTATATTGGGGGTTTCGGGTCTTTGTTTGAAAGTATCGATAACTTTAAATTTAAATTAAATTAAAATAAAATTATAAATACAAGCCAACGTAAGTATGTTGGGTAGGACAAAAACACATTGTTGTTTAAACATAACTACATAGTTAATGCTTATTCATCGAATCACTTAATTAGCTTAATCATTGACGTAATTAACATTTCACTATTTTTTAAAAGGTTTTAAAGCCTCCCTAGGCTACTGTAACTTAACCCAGTAGAATGAGCACCAACGTGTACATGTGCAGAGGACCCGTACCCCAACCTGTACACATAAGCTCCACCACTACCCGGGCATGCAGCTGTTGTGTACGTGTACCTGGTCCAAAAGTCTCCCACATGCTCTCGATCTACCCAGTGACCTACAGAGACCTGCTTAGAGCAGCCATGAGGATGTGACACTATAATGGTCAGCTTGTCTCCACGACTCTTGTATTTTTCCCTTATACTCTTATGTATACTATTATACGGCTCCAACATCTCCTTCAGTTTATTAGCTACATCTACGTCATGTGTTGCACAACACAAATGACAACAGTCAATCTCATCCAACGGTGACGCATTCACCACAAAACCATAAATCTCGACCACTGGACTTTGATCATCATCAAACCACAACCTACAGCTGGACTGTCTCGCCTCACTCTCATCAAAAACCACATGTCTGGCTGTCTTCACCAAAACCTCCCACCACACTTTGCTGGGTGTGTCCGAGTGGTCACATTCAGGACATGGACAAGTTCTGTAGGTCCTGAAACTCTGGTCCATCTCCTCTGTGTACTTGGTCACCAGGTTCACCCTCCCAGTTCCTGTATGCAGTGAGTTCTGTCCCCTGGTGTTGTAGCAAGGATATGGATCTTTAGTGCCTGGTACAAACTCTGGTCTGTCTGGACTGGTCAACTTAACGGCTATCCTGACAGTTAGGTCAGCCAGGGCTTTTGTGACATCATACACATCGTTGCCAGGGAAACCAGAAGGAAAATGTTCAAGACTTAACTGATTTACAGGTACAAAGTTTTTATGGCCAGGATTTTTCTCACAGTTTGCCAGGTGTGTGTGTAGATCTACCTCATCTTGACCTTCAAGACATTCTTGTACTTCATGTGTACCTGTACAGGTAAGCAAAACAATTTTATTACTGTAAACATTTCATTCGCTGTTTAACTTTGACAAACATAAAACAAGAAAATTATCTACAACATCCAACTGTCACAACCATCTCAACCATCACCATCTTAAGATACTCATCCAGTCAACATTTCAAACTACAGAATGTTTCAACATAAGGACTTCATCAGCTACAAACCTTTAAGCAGCCTCATAAATATAGTTATATTGACCATTTGTTCTACATAAAAGAAATATAATAGACGTTACCTGTAGAATATTCTGATAAGTCTCCTTCACTGGCCATACTGTTCAGTACAATAGTTCTGCTGGATTTAAATTATAGCATTTACATAATTTAAATAACAAATTTAGATTATTTCTAAGGAAATCGAACAATTCATTCTGAAAAGTTTAAAACTTTTTAAAAAAAATACCGTAAGTATCAACTAAAAGTACGTTGTCAATATAAAACATAACTTTAAAATAAAGTGGCAGTATTCTCCCCTAAACATTCTCGAATATTCTTCTTTAACACTATGGGGGATGGCAACTCGAGATATAGACATGATTTTAAATCACTTTTAATACTTAAAGTTTCAAAGATAGAATAGAATCTCGTAGAAAAAAAATTGCGCACCAAGTGAACAGCAAATAACGTGTGTATGATAGTGCGGAACATTTGTACTTTATTAATTTATATTACTTTTTTTCTGATATCGAAAGAAACGTAAAGTACTACTTTCGGAAATTACTCACAATGTGGCAGATAACTGAGCATTAGATCTTTTATTTATATTTTAAAATTTCATTTTCCTATCAGATACAGTACTAAAGCTACAGGCTTTAGAAAAACCGGAAGTAGAATGAATTCCACTTCCGGTATCCAGAAATTGGTGAAAAGACGATACAGAACTACAAATATGTTCTAATACTTACGTATAAAATTTCATCAACCTAGCTGTAACGATACTCATGTTATTGCGTACACATACACAGACACATATACACACACATACACACAGACATACGGCTCAAATAGTAAATTTTCGTAATAGCTTAAGGCACATTGGCGTTTGTGCTGGATTAATTGTTTAAGTAGGTCAAACAAACAGTTACTAAAGTTTTCTAAATTTCTTCATTCCTTTAGATTAGGTTAAATTAAAAGTCTGTATAGGCGATCTGTTTAAGATGTGTGACAAATAAAAAAAAAAACCTGTTTGTTACTCTCATGCATTCAACCCCCCCCCTCCCTATTACCTCTTCAAATCAATTACTCACTGTACATAGCCCCCTGCTCATAACCCTAATCCAAAACTGTAGTAGGACATAACCATCTAACCAAACATACACCTTTCATGTAGATAAAGAGATAAAGTAATAATTTGTGTAACTACGGTGATATAAATAGCGTTAGGGAAATAATTGGACACGGAAAGATATAGTGGAATAAATGGGGATAATGTTATGAAAAATGAAATGGGATATGGTGGAAAATAAGGATGTGGATGGGGTTAAATATGGAAAAGAATATAGATAGTTACAGTTTTAGGTAATGAATATAGATAGTAATAAAATAAATTAAATGTGATAGGGAATAGGGAATAGATCAAAATGGATAAAAATTATAGAAAAGTAGGCATACTGCCTAGCTAAGCTTATGTTTTCAAAAAGAGAGCTTCAATGCTAAATTAATTAATTAGTGATTGGCTGATATGGAGAGCTTAAGATTAAACAGTAATAGTAATTTTAGAGAATTGCTGGAATGTTCGCAATGTATTACTTGTAACGTAATTAGAGCTACAAAGGTTCCATGAATAGTATAACTTGTATTATATTGTCTTTTAAAATTAACTACTACAATTTAATTAGGATGCTTGTGTTAATACTTAACACAAATTACACTTTTAAAAAAATGCTATACATTGTTATTTTCTACTTTTGTTTAAAATAATATAAACTTATTTAAAAATGCTTATTTTAAACAGTTACCTCCCTTGTAAATTGAACGAATAACGTAGTCTTTGTTTATATTCTTTTCGCAAACAGTTGCTATGCTTATATAAGAAAATACGGTATCTGGACATTTTATCTACTATACTGGCTTTTCCCGACGGGAATAAAGTTTTTTTGTGACCCTCCAGGGTCGGTCTACGACCTTACAAAATATTCGGGGATCTTTCGGCATTTTTTGTTTATAGCTGATGTAAGGAGAATGTCACTGGTGGTCATATTTTAGCACTCGCCGTGCGAGCAGAGGCTGACCGATAGTTTATCCATAAGGCCGATTCATTTACCCAGGTTTATCGAAAAAATGAGCCAGGTGTACAGAGCCAAAGTTCTAAAACACTGTTTTGAAAAGAGTCATAGTTTTTCAAACAAATTAACAATGTTTATGTAGGGAAAATTCGGACTGGTCAGTTCTAAAGATGTTCCGGATTTTTCCGGTACATATCATAGTTTTTTTTGCCACTCCCGAGGGTCGGTCTACGACCTCAGGAGTTATGAAGAGGTTCCTACGTGGGAAATTGTTTTCGATATATAACTCATATAAGGCGCCGGTCAGTCGAGGTCAGTTTTGACCCCCTCATCGTAGACTTTTTGGCCAACCGGCCCCCGTGTTTTGTTGCCCTAAGGCAGGAGCCTGCCAAATTTGAAGCGCCTGCTGCGCCGGGAAGTGCCCGATGGGGCACCCGACCACTTTGCTTTATATATATAGATGAAATTGGATATAAAAAGAAATTATGAAACAGATATGTCTAAATAGGGACAGGGATAGTGATAACTATAGCAAGCATGTAACAATTATGTTTTGATGATCTCTAAATATGTACATTTTATTATAGCTTGTCGCAGACGACACATTTCTGCTGAACGGCTGTTAACGGTCATTCGCGTCACAACAACACTGCTTTAAAATTAACCCACCGTCATATCAACGTAACCATTTAAAAACAAACTCCATTTTCACAAATCATTTTCTAGACTACCGATACATTTTGATAATTAAAATTGGTATTAAATTAAAGATAAATAATTGTAGTTGTTAATTGTTTAAGTCATCTTGAACAATAATTAAGTTTACAGTCTTAGGCAACACCCCACATAATTGAACTTTATATATCAAATTAGAAAAAAACATTATGTTCTTGTAATGTTATGGTTCTAGAATCTATAGCCATGACTGACGGTTGGACGGAATGACAGACACACTGCTTTGACGCTTATATTATATACATATATATAATATTACATTAATATTATTCAGTATTATGATTCGTATTATCTAGTGTGTTGTATTGCATACTATACGTTGTGTTGCCCTTGAATACCCCTAGACAGAAGAACCCAACAGTGTTTGCTGTAGTTGTACCATATTCATGACGCGATGTAGGCAGCGCGGCGTTCGCAACATTGAACAAAGACGAGTACGACTAATTTGGCGTGTCAAGTCTGTATTATGTGGCGACAAAATAGCAGAAGTTTCGTGTATTAAAATAATAGGAAAACCATTACTTTATATTATCATATGCAATTAACATTACAATTTTGTGACATTTCATTAAATAACTACTGCAATTTTACGAAGATAATAAATACTATCTATTTAACCGTCTAAGACCTTAGATCAAAGCTGTTAGCATATTAATTTTTTCTAACTGATATTTTGTACTAAATAAACTCTTAAATTACTTTTCAATATTAAAACACTTTTGCTATATGTTATTTAAAAGTAAATACACACGAAAAATACGCAACAATCGCACTACTTAACGGTATTGTTTATCTTGTTGTATTTGCTTTGTTTACATCAGCGATCAATTGTATATTAGTTATTAGTCTTTATTAAAAAAAAATTGACATCTATTTGAAAATAGTTTATAACAATTTAAAGTAATTTTGCATTTTACCCGAATACGTTTTTTAGTGTCCAGTCATAGAGTTTAAACATTTGAATTCTTGATGTAGTATCATCCAATAAATAAAATGTAGCGGTCACGCAATGTCCATTTTCATCCCCTTAATATTATATTTATGAATATCTGTTTTTTCCAGGTATCTGCAGCATCTCCTTACCAAAATATACTAAGTTTGTGTCGCATCTGCAAGAGCTTGATCTAATTCAAGCACATTTTTAACACTTAGTTTATATTAGGCGCGGTCAGTTTAGGTCAGTATTCGGTCACTTTAAGCGCTTTTATTAAGATGGCTGTAATTGTCTCGTTGGATTAAATTTTAATAGCACACTATGTCAAGAACAATTTCAATGTAACTTACCTGCAAGTACTTGATTTAATTCGGTTGTGAGAAATAAACAACCGCCACTTTGCTTTTATAGATATAGAATACAGCCTTACATATCCGCCCCACATTGTCTAAAATAATGGTGCAATACTTTTGATCACGTGTCATGACAACTGGATAAACAAGGTGTGGTATAATTGTATTTTTACATGACTGAATTCACACAAACGAAGTTTAAATCTGGGTTGATGGGCTAAACAAGTGGAACAGGTTTAATTATAAATTGACAAGCAAGAACAGAAATAAATAATGAAATCTATTTATCTATATACTACTAAAACTCAAGTTTGTTTACATTGTTGTGTGTTAAATGTATTTTTTTTTGCTTCTCTGTTTAGCTAAAGGAGAGATTCTGCACTATGTGTAGAGCTGGGAAATACGAATTTAGGTAGAGAATAATGTTCTTTTTGAATCAAACTTATTTAAAGACGTAACTTAATTTATTAATATATCCATTGGTAGATTAACAAAACTAATAATAAAATTTCAGAACAATGACTTTACTTATAGTGACGTCACATGATTTATTAACTTTTTAAACAATCGTGGAGGCTTCCATTGAAGATTTTGTTGCCCACTCAAAAGTTTGATGTATTATTAAGCTAATTTTCTGTTAGCTATAGCTTTAACGAAAAGTTCGTTGGCTATTGTTAATAGGTTCCAATATTATTATAAATTTTCAACAGTTCTTCTAATTTGAGTATTCAATAAGTTTCTCTAGTTCTACAGATAAGCTGTCGGACGAAGAGAAAGTCAAACATAAATCTAGATAGAAAATCTAGAATCTAGGTCAAACCAAAATTAAATAGTTAAAAATAAAAACCATTACCAAATCACAATAAATTATTGAGTTTCTTTATTAAACTATGTCTTTAAATGTTTGGTATAGATCTTTGCTTTGTAGCTTCAAGAATCATATAATTCGAGAATACATGAAACTTATCTATCTAGGTCCTAGGTCTCGATAAAACTTAAGCGAGCCAGGCGTATCCTACATCTTGATCTAGATCTAGCTCTATCTAGATCTATAATCTATGTTAATAATTAGTTTCTA